ATAATTAAAATCTCGAAATACTAACCGTTTTTTTGATATTTTCTATGGAAATTAACTCATTCCTAAAATATCGTTTTTCTGCTAATACTAAAAATGTCCAAGGAATGATTATGTGATCTTGTATCCTCACATCAGTCCCAATAAAAAAATAATTGAAAGAACAAAAATCTAGCAGAGAGTATAGTCCATGGAAAAAACGTCACTTCCTTGAAATCTTTTGTTCATATCATGGTGAAATCAAATATTTTACCACTTTATATTGTATCGAAATTTTAATATCTAATTATTACTAACCCGATGAATCCACTGTAACATAGACAGCATATGCTAAATTCTCAATCATCAACAAAGGTGTCTTCAGCAGATAAATTCGTCTACTTATTAGAATACTTCCCATTTAACGAGCGATCTCAGATACTTAGAGAGTGGCCATGATCATAATGTCCTTGCATTGCAAGTAATAAACAGCATTTTGATAGTATTCAAATGTGAGAAATTCGAATTTATCCGTGATTTGTTGAAAATGTTGAGCTTTATCCTGATGAAACAATACGGACCGTTTACGCACCGTATTTTACCATAAATGAGCCTGATAGAGTACAATGGTGTTTAATAAGAATACGACTTATATGTGATGGTATACGGCGCAAATAGAGGTGCAAGCCGAGACATTAATCAATGGTGGTCGAATTTATTGTAACCTTTTTCTTTTCTCGGTGGCGGTTGAGGGCTTTCGATGATTCTTTCAAATTTTCTTGGTTTCGATTTTCAACAGTCCAGCAGCGGCGACTCTGTCGATTGGACTACATCGATAAGTGCAAATAGAGTGCCGTATTACGGTGACGAAGGTTATGACGAAATATTGTCCATTTGCGTACCGTGTCTCACCGTAAACGGCCATTTATGGCAAAACATATACATGGCTACAACCATCATCTTTGATAGTTTTCTTGATGACAACTATACCGAAAGAATTGTAGAAAAGAATGTGTGTAGTACGCACGACGTCTTCATAAAATAAATAAGCGAAAATATTCGTACAGATATGACTAGCTTAAGGATTAATATCTATTCTCTTGAGTTTTCAAATGCTATGATAGAATATTGAGAAGATAAGCGAGATGGAGCTATCACTTTGAATAATAACTTGATTGCGTTTCATGTTTCTTCAGACGATAGTATAAAACATATCTGTTTTGTAGTTCACTGATGATACATCAATGGCACTTTGTTTGGCTAACTCATTGATAGCTCGTCGTGATTTTGTTGCTTATGACCAATTGGTTCGCTACAAATGGTGGTATCGACATGGATATATGTCGTCAACTGGACATTGCTTTGATATTGGTTCAGCTACTAGACAATCCATTCAAGAATTTGAAACGCGTCAAAGAAAATTTGCACAAGACCATAATATTTCCGGTGAGGAAATAGACTCTCTATCTGATCCTAAAATTCTTAGCCAATTTGACGTGAAATGTAGCAAAAGTGAAGTGGCCGGCAATGGAGCTCTTATGCGTCTCGCACCTGTACCACTCTTCTTCTATCGAGATCCTGAAAAAGCTATTGAATATTCAGGTCAAAGCGGTCAAATTACACATGGAGATAAGAAAGCGTATGATGCATGTCGTTATTATGGAGCTCTAATTGTTGCTACTCTCCAAGGTGCGACGAAAGAAGAGCTGCTTAGTGACACGTTTTATAAAAATCATGAAAAATGGTTCGGCAGTAAGGTCCTTCATGAAGATATTATGAACATCATCAAAGGATCTTTCAAAAAGCAAGGCGGCTATGAAGAAGGAATTAGAGGAAAAGGATACGTGGTCAATGCCCTTGAAGCTGCTTTGTGGGCATTTTGGAGTGACAATGATTCGTTTGAAAAAGGAGCTCTCAACGCTGTTAATCTGGGTGATGATACGGATACAACAGCAGCCATATATGGACAGTTGGCTGGCGCATACTATGGCTTTCAAAAATTGCCTACTAAATGGGTTGATTCTGTCTATGCTAAACATTTTCTTCAATGTATAAGTCACTGGATCATCTATGAAGGAGCGCAATGGTTCAAGAATCAGAAGTCATCAGTTGTGGTCAAACCAACAAATTATTCCAATGTAAAGTCTGCTACTACGGCACCTAATATAATTTCAAATTCAATACAAAAAGTTGAACTCAATAGCCATAAACAATCCGATACAGTTTATTCATCAGTATACACTTCATTAGCCACCATGGATCGCAAGGCAATTGATTCTAACGGTCGCATTGGATCTTTCTATGATGGACAGCAGGATCGTATAGTAAAGTCATTAGATTCGTGTGTCAATAAACAAATCAAGCAACTGAATTTCTCTGCAACATGTTTCATCGAAAACGGTGATAACTCTAAATGTCGAAATCTTCTTCGACTTATAGGTTTTGATGATGAACTTCCATTGAGTATAGCATCAGACATCGTTTTACCAAAAGGTATTGCCTTACTCGTTAAGTATCCATATTTAATCGATGAATACACTCGTATTTTATATTATTCCTGTACAACTAGGCACGAGTCTTTATCCGACGATATAAACGACATAAAAAAGAGTATCCAACGATTAACGTCAGAAACTTTGGCTACTCATATCATTACGGAAATTACATGGGGTATCGATGTTATCGTTATATTAAGATTGCCACCTGCTCAGATGGATATAATTGACGACACACTCAAAAAACTATGTCAATGTTTAACCAACAATACAAAACTACCTGATACGCATTCGCTTGATCGAATTCTTTCTACACATATCTATTCAAATATACCTTTTTTAAGCGAACACAAGACAATAATCGATGTTTGTCATTCAATATTCAACATCAAACAGAATAATGATATTCATTGGCCGTCTACTTATATTCTCCATCCCATCAAAGGATATTACCCTGATAATAAAAATATTGCTCCATTTTTTTCGCTTGACGAGAAAATCGTACAAAAAGTAGAACAACATTTGTTTCAATTGTCATGCGTTAGCAAAATATGGACAACATTTACGGATAAGAAGACATGTGAAATACTAAATATTAATCTTGAAAAACAATTTCATGAAGCAGAAGAACAATCATTAAAATTAAGAGATCGATACAGAGATGATAAGACGCTATTCAAAAAAATGATTGTAAGTATTCGTCAAGGAAGTAAAAATGATCAGCAGATGATCGAATATCAACTATTGACAAATGAGAAATGCACAACATTAAGAGATGCCATCGACGATTTGAAATATACTCTAACCAACTTGAAAGAAAAAGTAGATTTTATTGTTGAATTGAACAAACAAGGGTTCGAGTATAGAAGTGCTACTAAATATGGTATCGAACAGGAAGATGATGAAAATACGATTCAGCGCAAACTTATGATTAATCAAGGGCAACGCATTCTTTGTTCAAATGATACTTTGAACGAGAACAATTCGAAAGTAATAAATCAGCTATTTTCAAGTATCAAAAAAGAACGCGAGACAAATTCTAATTTACGCCTTAAGTATGTCGATTTTTCTTACTGTCTATACGAGCTGAAGGAAATAAAAATCTTTCCTTCAAAGAGCAAAGGCATAAATACCAATGACCAGCCTTCGATATTACCAAAGAAAAACACAGAAGGCTTTGCTTCGTCGATGTCGCCGGCAGATCCAACTATCAATATTCTATTAATAGGCAAATCTGGGGTTGACAAGTCTCAACTCATTAATACATTTGATAACTGTTTCAAATTCAAAACATACGCAGACTTTCGACGTAGTAGATCTGTCTTAAACGTAGTCATTCCATTTATGCATTCGATCCAGCATGAATCTGAAGAGCATTTTGTTCTACTTGGTAAGGATGATCTTAATGAAGATTACGATCGAACTGGTTCATCAAGAATCCAGCATTGCAAATCGTATTTGTACGATATTGATCATGGACAAAAGTTACGTATAATTGATACACCTGGCTTTTACGATACACGTAGCAAAACTCAAAATAATTTAACTATGCAGCATATACTATTACCCATCACTAATCTTACTCATTTGAATGCTATCTGCATTTTGCTCGAATCGTATGACTCAAAACTTGATGCATATCAACCATATTTGACCCAACTCTTTGATTTCCTTGGAGAAAATGCTTGTAAAAATATCATCTTCTGTTTTACAAAAACACTTTCTCATCCGGTCAATGTTGAGCAAAGAAACAATCGACTGAAATCAATGCTCAAAGGACTTCCGATTAATAACATTCCTTGCACTAATGAGAATATATTCGATTTTGACAGTAGCTTCTTTCTCGAATTGACCATGACACAATATTTTATGACATTGATTAATCTGCAAAACCCAAAATTTGAAGAAAGTTGGTCCATTTCAAAGAATGGATGGGATCGTCTTATCAAATATGTTCGCGAAAGTCTTTCTCAGTATATTTTATATCAAGGATTGCAAAGAGCAGAAAATATTCGACTTGAAATTATGCAAATGGTTTATCCAGTGTTAGAATCAGTACGAAATATTCTCCGAAATTTTATCATATGGAACACGGAGACCACGCAAATGTCGATTCAACTACGTCCGAAGTCTATTATATATCCTACTGCTATATGTTATTCGTGCAGCCATAACTATTATCAATGCGGTGGCTTTGTGATTATATCTTACTCACTACATCGGTACCAGGATAAATGCTATACTTGTTCTTGCAACTCAGGCGAACATGTTCAGGTCGATTATCGTCTTGAATACGAATATTCAGCAAATCGAGCACACTTTCAGTCCGATCAGATGGATGATTTTAAAAGGGAACTGCTTAATGCAAGCGTACAATTCGCTTATTTTCTCATACATGTTGATCAGAACGCAGGAAACGATCCATTCTTGTCAAGAATAATTCAAATGATTGATGAAGAAAGGTACTTGGCTGATAGTGTACCTGGTAGCCATTACAATTCGAAGTTATGGGAACAGCTTGTGAAACTCAAACATGATTATCAAAAACATATGGATAGTATTAAACAGAAACGTATATCGAACGATTTGGTACTTATCGACAATCTGATTCAACGTGTGAAGCAAATTCCCATGGTACAGGAACAATTGGATGCTGCTAAATACATGCAAGAAACTTTTATTTAGAGATATGTGTGCTAGAAACTAATATAGCTGACTGAGTTATTAACAATATTTCATTGAAATTTTTACAATAAACTCACAAATCACATGCATAATATTCATAAGCAGAATTTATCAAGAGGGTGTGGGTGTGGGTGGGGATGTGCGTGTGGACCTTCTCTTTGCTCACAGCCACAGCCACACCCACACCCACACCCTTGTTCTATAATGAATTTCTTGAAGAACATGTGTGAGAAAGTAAGAGAGCGTACATTTCACTTTCACTTTTTGTAAACAAATAAAAGCACTTTTTTTAACTTGGAATATTCCAACAAAAATACATTAAAAGAAAAAACGATTCAAAAACCTAAACGATGCTGTGATGAAACCTCAAATGCATGACTCTATTAAATCAGAAGTCGTATATTAGAGATAAAGTGTCTTTTTTTATATAGTGAAATAATGTTGACAAAGAATTTTTTGTAAAAAACAAATATCAAAATTTTCGTTGCAACTAAAAATTAACATGCGTCCTTTTTTTTCTAGTTTTATGCATACGCCATTATTTTCGTTTCTTCCTACATTACTCTCAGACAAGAACGAAAGTGAAAATAACTTATACCCAGACGTCATCGCATATTAGTAATCAGTCTCTTTCTTGTTTTATTTTACATTTTCAAGTAATGATTAGAAAGTAATAAAAAAAAGTCATGTTTTTCTTTGAATAGTAAATTTTGAATTTTGTAGATTCTATATTGAAAAAAATCTACACAACTTTTTCTTCGCGTATATAAAACAGCTACTCTTTTTATTTTAAACATAATTATTGAGTTATACAAATTTCGAGATTAAAAATCAAATGATTTCACCAAAATTAAACAAGGAACTCTACAACAATATAACTCGACTAAAACTATTAAATGCGACTACTTCAGATCCTAAGTTTGTACTTGATCAATCACCATTTAAAGACGATAGTGATGAACAAAATATAGATGCTTCTGGAGGTTCAAAGGAAATCTCAATTATTGGGCGAATTTTCCCAGACTCAGATATATTTAGAGAAGGTGCGTATCAAATTGAAATGAGGTTAACACAAAATTTCCCATTTGATCCACCAAAAGTACGTTTTCTTACTCCAATCTATCATCCAAACGTTGGTGAAGATGGTAAGAAACAAAAAGAAAAACTTCAGACTAATGTTTATCAATTCTTGTCTCTAGGTGAATTTTGCCACGAACTATTATTAAAAGAAGCTAAATGGACAAATAGAAGGACTTTAGTTGATGTGGTTAAAGCTGTTATTCAGTATATCGACCATCATAATCTAAATGTTCCATTGCGTGCTGGTCGGTTTTTTTTACGTTTAACTTGATTTATTTTCATTGTATTTTTTTAGATGCCGCTTATGAATATGTAGAAAAACGTGCTAACTTTTATCGCCACGTGTGGGAACATGTTAAGAAGCATGCTTTGCCAGTTCTTCAGGATTTTTGAAGTATGCAATTTCAACGAACTAAACATTCCTAGTTGGTATTGAACAATATATTAGAAAATTTTTGTTTTTTAATAAGTGTACATACTCTTATCTTTAATTAACAAGCACATCCGAATTTTAATCATTAGATTTTATAATGTTTTTCTTTTAATAGAAAAACTTAAATGAATATAATAAACACGATGCTTTTACTATTGATTGAACCGGAAAAAGGAATTTACATTATTAGATGATAAACGGTGTTTTAGTCACTCTATGGATCTATCATTAGTTAACAACACTCCCAAAATCTTTGAAAACAAGAAATCAATTCTTCAATATATCGTAATCATCATTTGCACTACAATTACGTACTCACTATCCAATATAGACACTTTTCTCCATCACGAAAGTTGAAAAAATTCGTTATTTTTTTTGCTAGGGAGTTGATCTAAGTGGTGAGAAAATTCAAAGATATCATTATAAAATTCATCACCACGAGAATTCTATGAATTTCGTTGAAAATTTGTGTGAGGAAAAATTTCGATTGATTGATTAACTACATAATTCATTATCTGTCATTAGCTGCTTTCACAGCTGTTTAATATATGAAAAAGTGAATGCTATTTTTGAGAAAACCAAGAATACTTTAAAGAAGGATTCGACAGATAGTATGAGTTCGATCTTCATAATCGGACCTTGCGTTTGAACGATTGATTTTGAAGTTTTCGTTCTCAAGATCAAGAAAAATTAGATTTTTTTTCGATATATTTCTATTTTTTTTTGTCTTTATATACGTAAAAATTGAAGGAGAATTCGATAGATATGACCTAATGAAGAACTTCCCCGCTGGTTCTATCTTGTTACATGAACATGCTTTTTATAACTTTTTATATGTTTCTTTATCAATGCTTTGTGTATATTCGAGCTTCAGTTTTTACTATTTAAGTGTATTGTAGGGTGTGGGTGTGTGGTGTTGGTGTGGGTGTGGGTCTGGGTGTGGGTGTGGGTGTGGGTGTGGGTGAGTGTGGGTGTCGATAGAGGTATCACATCCACACCCACACCCACACACCCACACCCACACCCACACGCACCCAAAAAAAAACAAAGAAATTAAAACAAAAAATACAAACATTTCTCTATTGTTCCAAACATCGTATTTGTATCAAATGGTGTAAGATCAAACGTATAGTCACTATATTTTTGTGATATAAAATTGATAGACGTCGAAATCTACGAGTTAAAAAAATGTTAAAGAAATTCGTTTGTTTTGTGGAACTCACATATGTTTTCGAAGAAAAAATAGTGAGTGTAAGTTTTAAGTTTGAGGTTTGGCAGCTTCCGCGCCCCCCCCCCCCTCCCGACCATAGCAACAAGTCGCCCCCCCCCTCCCCCATTACAGACTTTAGTAATGGAGAATAAAAGGTGTCAAATTTTCTAGAGTTTAAAAAAATTGCTCAAGCTATAATTTTGAAGATTGATCAACATCATTGTTTGTGAGTTGATTAACATATATATAATAGTGCATAAGATGTGCTGTAGATATCATGGATATGTAAAATAGATTTATTTGCCGATTCAATGATTATAATAATAAGAATATTAAATTAAAAAAACACGAATAAAAAAAATAAAAAATAATGAGCGAATAGCAACAATGCAAACAAAAACTAGGGCGCCCGTAGAAAAAAAAAATTCTATTTTAAATGTAGAAATAAATAATAAATTTTCGTTCGTGTCGTTGATTATTAGTGAAAACAGCTACAGTCGACCAGAATTTTTTCCGTTTACGGATGATGTATTAGAATAACAAGGTTGAAGGATATACGTGAGGTCCACATTTCAGCTCCGAAGAAGCTGCGCTAACAAGCTTTTTTTTTAAATTTCACTTACTCTTTTACATCATTAGATTGTCTTAAAGGAACAAACACACATCCATATGCTATTTTTATTGCATCTGAGTCACGATAAGTAATATCATTAGCATGAACAAATGTTTGACCTTTGGGATTATTTGTACTTGTTACTATCGTCGTGACGATTCCCAATGTTTGATTTTTAGCTAATACACTGCGTTGCAAATTTCGAATCTAAAAAACCAATATGAAATTATTTTTTTTTATGAGAAGAAAAAAAACAACAAATATGAATTGCTAATGGATGATATCGTGAATCCGGCAAAAATCGGACACCCTCACAATCATAACGTATACGATTATTTGCCTTAGGTTGTTGCTTAACGGACATGGCAATATCAATCATTTCAAATATCGATGGATACATTTGATACATGAATACATTTTGATTTTCAATTGTTTCTTGGGGCATCATCATGTTTGTAACACCTGGATTTTGATCAAAAGTTGAATTTGGCATCCTTTGTTCATTATCAATAATTGCAAGCATATCTCGTTGTTCATCTGTAATAGAAATATAAATTGTAATTGATTTTGAAAAGACTTAACAACAAACCTGATGATAAACGAAAGAGTTCCGATGAAGTATTCCCACTTGTAGTTTCCGAGCACGTGCCATCGTTATTAACTGATGAATATGATGGTAAAAAACTACTTGGATTATCATCATTCAAGTCTTGAGCTAAAAGAATCACTAGATATAAAATAATACACTGTATTTGATTCAACTTATCACCACCAAATTGAATATCATTGAAAACACTTGACTAATATCCGTCTGTAAATAAATCGTCAATAGAGTTCGTCGAGTTTTCCATTAATACTGGTTACAAGAAAAATAATGTGTTGTATTCGAAATTTTACTGAGGAAGAAATGAATTTATACAGGTGAGATCACTCTTGACAACTACATTTTTCGCTATTGTGGGTAAGCAACGTTTTTTCATCATGTGCTGAGTCAGATTAAAAAAACAAATATTGACAGACGCAAAAGAAGAAAAAAAGGCTTCTATAAATAACGACAGAATACATTGGAGAAGAGGGTGTGGGTGTGGGTGTTCACTTCTCTTTATCCACACCTCACACCTACACCGCACACCCACACCCACACCCACACCACACCTACACCCACATTCACATCCACACCTAATGACTCAAAAAACTCCTAAAAAAATGGCGCTGTTTTTATAGAGATGTTTTCTTATATGAAAATAAAAAGGCTTTTTTAAAAAAAGGGCCACGAGGGGACTAGCCCTAGACACAAGCTTTCAAACAAAAAAAAAGATTTGACTTTATCTTTTACTATGATAGAGTTCTGCTGGCGCTACGTCGTTGAACCCACGTTCTGAGAAAAACGAAAAATGATTTTTGGCTTTTTATAAAAAAAAACGGCTTGTTTTTCGAATAGGAGGTGACGAAAATCTTCCAAAATTTTTGGAAAAAAAGAGGTACCGAATAAAAATTTTTGTCGCGTAGGAAAGAGCAGATGACAGGCTATTTCGTCATGAATTTATCTCAATTTCGATGATTCTGGCGAAAAGTGACTTTTTAGAGAGGGGGAGTCTTAATGAGAATCTCTGGAATATTTTATTGCGATAACACGGCCATCTAAATGGACTACTTACTCGTTTCCATTTAGCTTTTTCTCATCTGAATTTAAAGAGTGTAATGTTAAATTTTTCTAGCAGTGATGTATAAAAAATAATGGATCAGAAGAAGCATTCAAAACTCCAAGAGAGTTTTATGAATTCTTCAGAAAACAACAAGTATCATCATAATCTCCTATCGAGCTATTATATGTAGATTCAAACGAGATAGTTCGGCTTCATCAAGAGAGGAACATGAAAAGAAGGGAAAATACTAATGGTAAAAGGATTCATGTCAGTTACATTTCTCTAAGTTCTTTTTTCAGCGCTTATTGGAATTCGCTGATTCCATCATTTTGAACCAATCTTTGTTCGGATTGTTCAATGCCATCGTACAGCATAATCTAACACAAGTTAAACCTACTGGTTATGGTTTATTCCTTGCTCATGGTTTCTACTTTTTCATTCTGTTTATTATCGTTTTGAGAAGAAGTTTATATTCATTTCTCCACAATATATTACCAAGAAAGCTAATATATTGATGTCAAATCATTAATCTGAAATCTATGAAACTAACTGATTTTTCTGTCAAGCACGGTAGCTTTAAGAATTGTTTCCTCGAATGCATTTGTTTTCGCACTATCGAATAAGAATAGATCAGGGAAAGTAAATATATTTATCTCACATCAGCATCAGTACTATTCGTACAGAGCTAATATTGCGCAAGTAACATTGAATGTATTTTTTTATACATCACTGCTAGAAAAATGTAACATTACACTCTTTAAATTCAGATGAGAAAAAGCTAAATGGAAACGAATAAGTAGTCCATTTAGATGGCCGTGTTATTGCAATAAAATATTCCATAGATTCTCATTAACAAAGATAAATTTAAGCATTGAAGAATTGAAACACTTTTTTTGAACATTTTACCGACATAAAATGATATGAAAAACATGATGACTTATAAAATTTCGCATGTTTTTTATTCTACTTGTCGATATTTATCTAGGTTTAGATTTTCAGATTAATTCATTGAGTCTTTCTTTAAAAAAATCCCGGAATATGGACTAAAATCGGTCGGAAAGTGCTAGTAAATGAAAATTTTCGTTCTCTAACGAACGAAAATGGAAACCGACTTCGAAGCTATATATACCAGGAGATAGAGCAAACGACGCTCTACAAAACCTAGTAGGCCAATATTCTCCCAAATTCGGAAGAGGTTTTTTATTGGGAGGCAAAGTGTGTATAGCTTTGACATAATTGAGCTTCCATTCAAAGTTTCACTTTCGGAAGCTGACCTATATGGTTCGATAGAGCTGAATGCGAGCTATCAGAACATGTATAGAATGTTCTGTTTCGATCCTAAAATGAGGACGAAAAGGTTCTCACAAAGTCCAGTACTCTTCAATTTGGTCATGGTTTTTCCGAAATTCCTATAAATGTATTTTGCTTATTTTATCGTTATAATATATACAAGTCCTTAATAATTTATTACCAAAATGATCAGCTCGCCGAGCTCTACAAATTCTGAAAGTTTCAGCCAATTCTGAGAAAGTCATGTGTAAAATGGTACGTTTCCCATGGATTTACCCATTCGTATTTTTCTTGATGGCTGATTTATGGAAAAAGTCACAATAAATGATTGGAGAATTGAACCAATCTGCTTTATTTTTGTCGTCACACTACTATTATATATTTATCATCTTCTTTATTAGACTTTTTTTTTTTTATAGAGAACGATATCTTTTTACATTATTAAAAAAGAGTTCAATTAAATATCTGAGACATGCTTGAACGACATCTTTTGTTCTAAGCTGCAACAAGAGGCAAGTAACGTCGACGAAGACGAATAGCAGTTTCTTTGAAGAGACGATATCTGAACCATGTCTAGACATCCAAAGAAATTAAACAAATATGTAATAAGAACATCAACTAAAATAGAAAAATATTTTCTTACTCGAACATAACAGTCCGTAATATTAAGATGTGTGGCAATACTTTTCATTTCATTTATTTGAGCAAAATTATTATGTTGAAAAACTGAAAAAGAATCAAAATGGTAAGCATTAAGAATGAGTGAGAATTGAAAATATATTTCATAAAATATCTTACATTGTTCAAGTGAGTCTAAATGTTCTTTTGTTAGCATTTGTATAACCCATGAGGCACGTTCAGATGCTTGATAAATGTCAAAACATTCAGTTTTACAAGTATTTTCTCAGTTATCCCTACCTTTCTCTAATTCTAAATAATCAAGAACCATTGTAAATAAATAAATTGAATACCAAGAAACAAGGAAAGATAATGTTGATTTGTGCGCTCCTTAATTGAAAATGCACGGATAATGTTACATATTCTGTATATATATATCGCTAACAGAGAGAGAGAGAGAGATCACTATAGAAACAGACATATCGAATTGTAATATGTTAGAATAAACGACCAATTCGTCTATATTAGACTCCAAACAGACTGACTTAATTCGAAGTGAATTAATCAATATAATTCGCGTCGCTATGTAAAAAGGACAATCATGTTTCTTAATTCACTTT